GCCCCCACCCTCCCTTTTTTTTTTTTTTTTTGGAGAGGTTTTGCTACAGGTCATGTGCACTTGCCAGAGAGACAGAGAGAGACAGAGAGATAGAAAGCAAGAAATCACTCCCCAGAGGGGATGGCCATGCTGCAATCCTTTCTCCTTCATTCTCCTCTTGGGATCTTAGGCACACACACGCGCCTGAAGTGAGTTTAAGCCACCGGGTCCAAGACTTAAACCGTGGTCAACTACGTGGGAGTCCAGCGACATAGCCATTACGCCAACTGCTGGTCCTCCCCCCCCTTTTTTTAACTGCGCTCCCTTTTTAACCAGCTCTAATTGTCTGAAAGCCAGCAGTTATATGACATTAAAAACAGACAGACAGAGCAGCTCACTGACCCTAATCCTGCCCTCTAGGACCAAGGTAGTCCTTTAGCCAATGACTAATTTTCAAGTACTTGGGAGACATTTTGGGCCTGACGATAACATTCATGAGGTGAGTGGTTCTGCTGCTCTCACAGCTGCCCACAGCCCCAGGCACTGCAGGTAATGCCTCCGAGGGCGGCAGGCCTGGAAGGGGCCTGAGAGCTGCAGCTCTCTGCTGGTGGTCTGTCGCTGCCTCTGGCCCTCTGGGGTGTGGACCTGGAACCTGCTGGCTCTTCCCTAGGCAAGGCCATCTCATCAGGAAGTCGCCCTTGCCCTCCTCCATTGCCCTCCTTCAGGTGCCTTGCAGACTTAGGAGCTCATAAGTTAGCTTACATGGAGACGGAGATGTCTAATAAGACTTAAAATTTCCTCCTGGGGTTATTTTATTTTAAAGAGACAAAGGTGCAAACTCCGAATGGGGCATTTTCTAGCCTGATTTCCTTCCCTTCTGGAGTAAACTCTCCCCTGCATAGGCAAGGGCCCCTCTGTGTGTGTCTGAGGCCAGCCTGGGCACCATGTTCTCCAAGTGCCTGCTCTCAGCAGGAGGACTGAGGCAGGGCCAAGCCCAGGCATTGGTGGAGATGTGCCCATTTGTCTTCCAACGAGGTCCTCTCTCTCAGTCCCTCTAGGTTCTACCCTGTGTCCCGCAGGGTCCCTGAGTATTATGGCCCCTACTCCTCGCAGTATCCCGACGATTACCAGTACTACCCACCAGGGGTGCGGCCGGACAGCATCTGCTCCATGCCTGCCTACGACCGGATCAGCCCGCCCTGGGCCCTGGAGGACAAGCGCCCCTCCTTCCGGAATGGAGGCGGCCCCGCCTACCAGCTGCGGGAGTGGAAGGAGCCAGCAGGCTATGGGAGGCAGGATGGCACCATGTGGATCCCCAGCCCTTCCCGACAGCCAGCCTATTATGACGAGCTGGATGCCGCCGCCGGCTCCCTGTGCCGCCTGTCCCTGCAGCCCCGTTCCCACTCTGTGCCACGTTCGCCCAGCCAGGGCTCCTACAGCCGCGCCCGCATATACTCCCCCGTCCGCTCACCCAGTGCCCGTTTTGAGCGGCTGCCGCCTCGCAGTGAAGACATCTACGCTGACCCTGCCGCCTATGTGATGAGGCGCTCCATCAGTTCCCCCAAGGTGAGCCCGGCCCACCCCTCCTTCCTCACCCCCCAGGTCCCCCTAGGTCCCGGAGCCTAAGGCCATCTGCTGTGAAGAGTTAGAGATGTGGGGCATTGGGAACAGGGGGACAGACAGCCATGCTGTCCTGGCGAGCCTCAGGCCTGCAATTCCATTCCCCAGGGAGTAGCCTTGGGGGATTGCTTTGCCCCAAGTAGGATCGTTGCTTCCTGTGCTTTCTGAGCCATTCTGGGACGTTTGCTGTCCATATAAGAGCACAGAAAGGGCTCCGTCTTTGCAGATCCTGAGGACCTGGACAGTTGGTTGCAGTGGGTGGTGGTGGATGGTGGTGGTATTGTTTTCCAGTTAGGAATCGGCTTTGGGACAGGATACAACGTCCCTAATGTCGAAGTTCAGTGGATGGGGAACTCCACGTGCCAGACCCTCACCTCTGCAATCCCCTTTCTCTTCCAGTATGATTACCTGGGAGACAGGCGGCCAGTCCCTGCAGGACTGTTCCCCTACAACTACCCACCGTCCCCCACGGTCCACGATAAGATGGTACGTCCTCTCCCCCTCTCCTGCCTCAGAACCTCTGCCCACTGCCTCCGCCCGGGGTGGAGCAGAACTGAGCAGCCAGGGAGGCTGTGTGCCCAGTGCCTGGCCCATTCAGTTTTCAGCAGCCTCTGGATACCTCCTCCCTCCCGGCCAGGAGTCCAGCCTCAGTACAGAGTTGGGCTGGCTACCCCTCCTCCTCTGTAACCTGGGACAGAGGACCAGGGATAAGATCTGGGAGCACAGCATAAATACCCGATCCTCTCTACTGCTGCACAAGTCTCCGCAGCACGCAGAAGGGGCCTGGATGGGACCTCAAGTTATGGGCTGGGACAGAAAATCAGACAAGGTCGTCTTGAATTGTGTCCCCTAAGCACATTTGCTTGAAGTTTGCCCTTTGCCTAGAATGCTACCTCCGGGCAGAAGCAAGTGGTGTGGCCGAGGAAGGAGAGACTTTCCCTTGCGTGTGCTCCTTCGCTCCGCTCCTCTTCCTACCTGTGCTTCTCTCTAGAATTTGTTCTCCTGAGAATTTTTGCTTCCGCCTGGAGAACTAAATGCAGATGCTCCACTTAGGTGGGTTATGGCAAACCACTGGGACCAACAGGGAGAATCCTTGTCCCTGAAGGCCTGGCGCTGACCCCTCCCCATGGTAGCTCAGGAGGCACTATGGAGAGGGCCTGACAGGCTGGGTGGGGGCTGCTCCTTCCAGCCCCGGTTCTCTCTCTGCCAGCCGCCAGACTCATGGCCTTGACCCGTAGAAAATGGACTCCTCCAGAAGCAATGTATTTTTGCAGAAAATATAGAAACAGGTGCTGAGAAGTGCTGATTGGATTGCTCTGGTGGGGCTCACCTTTCTCAGGGAGGTCGAGGTAGACCTAAAAGAGATGGGGTTGGGCTCGGAGGGGGGTCCCTCCTCTGCTGGGGGTGTCCAGTAGAGAGCGACTCAGCCCGCCCTGCCCACATCCTCGTCCCCTGCCTTCCCCAGAACTCCAAAAGGGCGAAGAGCGAAGCCTCTCCTTGCCTTGCCCAGCTGACTCTTAACTGCTTTGCTTCTTTTTCACTGTTTACTCCTGTGTGTTCCTGTTATGTGTGTTGCTGTTTGGCCTCTCGGCCTCGGGCTCCGGGTAGGATGAACTTTTAGATCTTCAATTGCAAAGAAACCTTGAGTATTTGGATGAGCAGGTAGGCAGAGCTGGTGCCTCCAGTCCCACTGCCCTCCGTTGTGTCTCCCCGTGCCTCCCCACCTCCTCATCTTCCAGCCATTTCACAACCTTTGTTGGTGCAACCAGGACACAACAAAGTGGCTTACGCAAGGGGGACTTCGAAAAGTTCGTGGAAAATAGAATTAAAATAGGAACCTATTTTGATGCAAATAAAAAAGTGAAGTCCCGGGACCAGCAGATGGCATAATGGTTACATTGCTGGACTCCCATGTAGTCGACCGTGGTTCGTGTCCCAGCCCCCGGCCCCTGAAAATTCATACTGGCTACATGTGCATGCATACCCCAAATCCCCAGGAGAATGGAGAAGGGATTGTGGTGTGGCTGTCCCCACTGGGGGCTGATTTCTCACTTTCTATCTCTGTCTCTCCAGTGAGCACACACCCTATAGCAAAAATCTTTTTTTTTTTTAAGAAAAAAAAGAAGTGAAATCCTTGCATAGTGTTTTCATAATATGCATTTTCCACCAACTTTTTGAAAACCCCTGGTATTTTTATTTGCTCCTTCACACCCTTTATCTTCAAAGGCTAGGCCAGCTGGGAGTTTCCTGGGGAAAAGAAGCAGAAAAAATGGGCACATGAATAATTAATGCCACCTTATATTTCCTCAGCGTTCAGCCTAGATGGAACTGCCCCCGGGGGCAGGTGGGAATTTGTGTTTTAGCTACAAAGAGGAGGAAGCGCTGGGCTTGGGCCTTCTACGCTAGCAATTTAGTTCTGCCTGAATCTGGGAAATAAGTGGCAGCCTACGTGTTGTTGTTAAACTCCATAATTTATAGACCGAGACCTACACACCCGCCCTGGGCTGATGTAAAAATACTATTAATTCAGTGTATCTGTTAGTTCCTCCACTAAGCTCTTTTGCATACATAGCTCATGCTTTCCTGAGAACACTGTTGTAGACAGAGACTCTATCAGGAGCTGGGTTTTATAGATGAGCAAGCAAGGAGAGGCGGTGTTCGTTCCAGTGAGGTGAGAGCGATTGGCTGCCTGGGCTCCTGGGTGCAGGCTCTCACCCTTGCCTTCTAGGCTGTGTGGGGCTGCGATGGTGCCTTGGCTTAGACAGGAAGAGTCTCGATACGCTGGCCGTCTATATGAGCACATACCCTTCTGTTCAGATCTGCACTAAAACCCCAGTGACACGACACCGCACTGTCCTGAGGACCACCTGGAATGCGGAAATAATAATAATAATTGCAGCAGCAGCTTCCGTACTTGCCGCTTCCTCCGTGTCCCTTACTATCCTAAGCACTTTGTAGATCCTAACTCATTTACTCTTGATGACAATCCCACAGGGTGGGTACTGTAATTATCCCCATTGTCTGATGAGGAAACTAAAGCCAGAGGTTAAACTGCATGCCCTGGACACATAGCCAGTGAACAGCAGGGCTTAGAATGTGTCTCTGAGCTTTGACCCAGTTTCCAACTTAAGATATGTCTCATAGGTGACAACACTAGGACTGAACCCTAGCGAGATGACCCCATGCTCTTAGCATTGCCCAGAGAACCATCCATTTGAAATCAGGATATTCCTGCAGTGGTTCTTTGTATCCCATGTGACCCATCATCCCATGGTGCTTGGATGTCACAATGAGATCACCCTCGTGGAAGGCTTTGGGTACTAGAAGTACAATAGCCAAACGCAGCAGGGCTGGCTCCCAGCCCTCGAGGACCTTGCGTCCCAGGTCTACAAGAACATTGTGGCCATACTGTGTGCATTCTGGTCCGTTCGGGGATGAGTCCTAGCACAGGATTGTCTCAGTGGGAAACCAGGTCCCAGGGCCGTGAAAAGGGGAGGGACGGGGCTCAGTGCCCTCTGGGCTTCTGGGCAGGCTGCCCTCCCTGTGGCCTGTGCCGCTGGCCTTCTCCACCCTGCTGACCAAACATTCAGGATATACAATGGGCCCTTCCAGGGCTTTCTGCCCTTGCAGCGGGGCTGGGCCGTGACGCTGGGAGCTTCAGGATTAACTGTTCAGAGAACCTTCTCGTGGATTAAGGATAATATTTTCTAAAGGCATCCTGTATGATAGGAAGATCCTAGAACATAGGCAGACAGGAACCCTCAGTGCAGCTCGGCCATTTGCAGGATTTGTGTGTGTTATTTATTTATTTATTTATTAATCTTAGAAATGTCACTTAGTCTCTCCAGGTCTTTGTTTTCTCAGTCATAAAAATGAGCCCTGTAAAACCTGCCCTTTCTGCCTCACAGTGACGGGGAGAACCCTGTGGGCACCAGCTGTCAGGCCCAGGCGAGGACTTGAGCGCCGTGATTGGCTTATTGTGTCTCCAGAACTCAAAACCAGTAGCTAAGGAGCACTTCCCATGTGTCAGGCACTGGACTAGGTGCATTCTCAAAATGTCACTAACGTTTAAAAAGACGGAAGGTAACACACAGAGATAAAGAACCCTCCCAGAGATAAAGCCCACGAGGCTGAATAGTCCCAAGAACCATGGCACGGGGTGGAAGCAGCCATCGTTGCTTTAGAGCCACCTAGGGCGAAGGAATGAGGTCTGTGATGCCCAGGAGGAGCCCGGCCTCCCTCGCCTGATGGTCAAGCTGCTTTGTCCTCCGCGTATGCACATGCACACTCACACACACTCACAATCCACACGCCGTGCCCAGGACACAGGCTGCATCTCACTGCGCTTCGATGGACACACACACATACATGCACATACGTGCACCCCATAAAACCTACATAGAGAGCACACGTGCACCTCCAAATACAATAAACCACCACACCCAGGCACACACACGCTCCAAGAACGGAAGGATAAACTTGCATTTGGATCTTTCCAGAAAATGTGGTTGAGATCTGTTGACTTTTAACTCTTAGGAAGTTCAACCTCATGTTACAAGTGCTCTTTTGAAATCTTCTTAAATTTATAACTTTGTAACAGAAATTTCCAGCTGGGCCAAAAAGGTAGAAAAGGGAAAGCCGACAAAGCAGACAGTGCTGGGACACAGCAGTCGGTGCCGGCGCCCTGGCAGCCTGCAGCACACAGAGACAGCGTGGCTCTGACCAAGGCTGGGGAGACAGTGAGAAAAACAGAGAGGGCCCCCGGAACTGTGACCCAGAAGGTCCTCCCTAACGTGGCACTGACCTCCCTTCCCTCCTGCACCCTCCATCGCCCGCTTTCCCTTCTGTCTGCTGCCGTCTCTAGAACAATGGCGTTAAAGGGACATTCCCTCCTGTGTTCACTTCGTGACCCTCTTGCGCTGAGACATGCGGACACGACAGCATTTCTGGCCAGTGTGGCTGACCTGCCCTCTCCCTCTCCCTCTCCCACCCTTCCTTCCTTTCCCTTTTCTCTCTCTTCCCATCTTCTCTCCAACTCCCCCCCTCCTTCCACCCTCTTTTTCATTCGGCAAATAGTCTTTACCCCTCTGTGTTTCTAATGAAATACAAGGGGACTTCAGAAAGTTCATTAAGAAAATGAAGTTAAGGTTGGGACCAGCAGGTGGCACAGAGGTTAAGGTGCTGGATCCCATATGACCGAATGCACAGTTCAAGTCTCAGATCTGGCAGCTTGAAAAATCACACTGGATGTGTGTGCATGCCCAAAATCTCAAGAGAATGGAGGGGAAGGGTTAGCAGCATGGCCATCCCCATTCCGGGGGAGGAGTGATTTCTTACCCTCCTTCCACCCCCCCATCTCTGTCTCTCTGACAAGTACACATGAGCTATAGCAAAAAAACCCACAGAAATAAAACCCAAAAAACTTTGGAACAACCACACAAAAAAAATTGGAATCTATTGTTTTTCATAATGTGCATTTTTCCATGAACTTTTTGAAGACCCCGTGTATAAAGACAAGGTGACGGAGAGTGGCATTCCAATGTCCAAGGTCCCTTTAACCGGCTCCCTTGTTGTGACCTCCTCGTTTGCTCCCTAGCATCATCCGAGACCATCGCGATGCTGCCAGCCCAGCTCTGGAAACCGTGTTTAGTGTCCTTTCTACACTGAGCCAGGGGGCAGGGGCCGGGCAGGGAGAGGGACCTTGCCTGCGTGTTTCTGAAGGCCCACTCGGACAAGCCCTGGAGTTTCTTCTTTAGTTGTTTCATTTAGTTCAAATTTGGGGAGACCAGCCTTTCCAATTGCCTGTGTGGTCTTTGTCCGATGTGGTATAAGAAATGAGGTCGAGGGTAAGGAGGTGACAACCATGGCCAAAGGGGATAAGACCCACACCCGTCAGGCACCCCGGGGAAGAGCCACTGGGCTGGGCCTCTGGGTGCTGCTTGCTAAGACCTGGTGGCTTCCCAGCTCCCTTCGGTGGCCTTTCTTCGAGGGTGGCTTCAGGGCTGGTCCTGACATGGTTCACGGGGTGAATGGTGAGTGAGGAGGCCAAGCACGGGGCTGGAGGCCCTGAAAGGAGCTGCCCTTCCTGCTCCACGGGCAGCCAGCACAGGCAGGTGAGGGGAGACACCTGTGCGTGGCTCTGAGCGTGACCATCCATTCCTTCCTCTGCTGCAGATGAGTGAGAGCGAGACTCTCATCAGTATGGTGAACCGCATGGTGGAGAGCTCCTCCCCCAGGGCCCAGCTCTTCATGCAAGTAAGACCTCTGCCTGGCAGCATGGTCCCCACCCACGCCATTCCAGCTGCTTGTGCATGGTCAAGTCGCCCCATCTGGGACGAGGCTCGTTCCACCCAGCCTGCTTGTCTGCCAGGCCTCATCTCCCTGGAGACAGGCACGGCCTGGTCATCCTCCCTGAATTCCACTGTGTCACTCCATTCTTCACCTTCATGGCTGTTTCTAAAACCATCAAAATAGTCAGCCCTGACATCTCATGCCACACTGGGGGTTGCAAGCCTACTTTCAGTGCCCAGAACTTCGATTTCACATTTGCTATCTTCTTGACAGACAGCATGGGGGTTAAGGGCAGGAGCGGAGTAGCCTGGAGCCACTTAGTGCACAGCTGTATAGAGTGTGCGGTGGCCCCAGATGTGTCCAGGCACCACCTGGTGGACCCAGAGCTGCGCTAATGCTTGTTGCCCGCCCTGGTGTAGCTGCAAGCCCTGTGACTGGTGTTCAGTCGTCAATGTTCCGACGTGGGAGAATTCCTGCCCTTCTCCCAGGTCCTGTCCCCACACAGCCGAGGGTTTCATGGGTGTTCTTGTGGTTTCATTGACGAGCCACAGGTGCTAGCTCCCCGTATCCCCTCGAAGCAGCAGATCCTGGGCCTCTGCTTAGGGCAGAGGAAGTAGAACATGTGTTAAGCAGAGTTCTGACAACGGGGATGCAGTCCAGCCCAGGCCACCGTAGGCTTCTCAAGGGCATAGCTTCCTGGAACGGAACCCCCAGAAGTGCTGGGCCTCGCTGTCTGGCAGGAAGGGCGCCGGACTGGTGTCACCCGCATGCCGTCAACCCGCCCCTGCCACTGTAACCGGCCTCGTGTTCCTGCAGGTCCCTCCGTACCCAGAAGTGTTCCGAGACGGCCTCCACACCTACAAGTTAAACGAGCAAGACACAGATGTAAGAGCAGCCCCGCTCCCCTGCTCTCTCCAGCCTCCCACCATCGTCCTCATCCTCCCTCTCTCGGTGGGGGCTTTTCCTCCATTCATCTCTCTCCTTCTGTGGCTCTTCATATGTTCAGTTCATGTCCTTTGTCACCACGAAGACAGCATCCCACTGTCTCCTCCTCGTCCCCCTTCTCTTATCGACTTCACCCCTGGCTCACCGGGACATCTCACACCGGCCGTGCGAGTTTCCCTGAGTGCTAGGCCTGCCTGTCACCAGCAGGGAGATTGCTGCTGACAGGGGCACAGACTGCTGTGAGAAGCCAGTAGTCTCCTCTGCCAGTGTGGCTTCAGTCCCTGCAGGAACCTAGAAAGATGAAGATGGGCCTGCCCCTACCCTCAGGGAGCTTCGGGGACGTGGGAGGTGCCAGGTAGCAGGAGTTGGACCGATGGCAGGCTCTGCAGGAAGGAATAAGGGCAGCGAGGCCGCGCGGGCTGTGGGTCAGGGACAGGCAGTGAGCTCGTGAGCTGAACTTGAAGCTGAAAGGCTCAGAGAGCGAGACTGGGCTCAGGGATTGAGCGGCGTGGGGGTGCAGGTAGGGACGTCTTTGAGGAACAACCTGAGTGGAGGTGGGTGTGGAAAACATGTGTCTCTGAAGGAGAAGTTCGGCCTGACCTGCCTATGCCATTTCCAGTGCCCTGCCCAGTGAGTGGGTCTAACAGGTCTGGCAGAGTTTCTGTCCAGAAAAAGACCAGACTTCAGGAGGACGCAGGGCCAGCCACCCTGAGGCCTAGGCGGGAGGGGAGAACAGGGTCCTGTGGGCCGGGGGGTCCAGTTTGCACTGCTCACAGCTTTTACGATGTCTGCTCATCCCGACACCCTGCCAGCCCTCCAGTCCAGCCTTGGAGGTGAGGCCACCTTATCGCTCAGCCCTTGTGAATCGCAGCCTTTGGGAGGACAGAGGTGCAAGGGCTTAATACTCGGCCCTCTCAACCCAACCCACGTCCTCGGAGGATAAAGTGTCCCCTCTCCGAGATGGAGACCTGTCTTCCTGTTCCCAGGAGCCTCCAAGGTCCAGGGGAAGGCCCAGGCTCCTCGGCAGTGGAGAGGCGGCGGTATCCAGAGGCCAGGCCCTGCCAACTCAGTTCCCAGCTCCCCATCAAACTGTGTCCTTCACCCCCTTGTTTTTTTTCCTCTCTCCACCCCACTCTCCGGAAACCCAGAAGCTGCTGGGCAAACTGTGCGAGCAGAACAAGGTGGTGAGGGAGCAGGAACGGCTGGTGCAGCAGCTTCGAGCTGAGAAGGTGAGGACGGGCAGGCCTTAAATCGGGACAGATCTGCAGGGCTGACTTGGAGAAGTGGCAGGTCACCGTCTCCTTCGTGATGGAGGTGACAGGGCGTGGCCCCTCCTTCAAAGTCCACCCCACCCTTCTTCAGAACCTATGGAGGTCTCCGGAAGCCTTAGCTAGTATGGGAACAACCTCTGTTAAACCGTGTGGTTGAACTTCTAAGGGCTCAGGCCTCTGCTGTTAAGAATCCAGATAGGTTGGGGGCCAGCAGTTAGCGTAATGGCTATGTCGCTGGACTCCCATGTAGTCGACCACGTTTTGCGTCCCGGACCTGGTGGCTTAAACTCACGCTGGGCGTGTGTGCATACATGCCCAAGATCCCGAGAGGAGAATGGAGGAGAAGGGATTGCGTCATGGCCATCCCCCCTGGGGGGTGATTTCTTGCTTTCTATCTCTCTGTCTCTCTCTGTCTGTCTGGCGAGTGCACGCGCCCTATAGCAAAAACCTCTCCCAAAAAAAAAAAAGAACAACAACAACAAAAAAAGAATCTAGACAGGTTGGGGGCCAGCTGATGGTGTAGTGGTTATGTTGCTGGACTTCCACATGGCTGACTATGGTTTGAGTCCTAGACCCAGTGACTGAAAATATTGCCAGGTGTGTTTTGGTGCATTCCTAGAGTCCCAGGAGGAGCATGAAAGAGAAGGGATTGTGGTGTGACTATCTCCCCTCAGGGCTGATTTCTCACTTTCCCTCTCACTGTCTCTGTCTCTCTCTCCAATGAGTGTAGGTGCCCTATAGAAAAATCTATTAAAAAAATATAAAGAAAAAGAATCCAGACAGGTGGGCCAGCTCCAAGGCCTGATGGTTAAGGCAGCTAGATCCCTTATGACCAACTGCATGGTTCAGGTCCCAGACCCAGTGGTTTGGGAAATATGCCTGGCACTTGTGTGTATGTGCCCAAAATCCTGAAAGGAGGGGAAAATGGAGGAGAAGTAGTTGCAGTATGACCATTCCCTGTTGGAGGGAGGTGTTTTTTCGTCTTATTTTCTCTCGCAAGGGCACACATGCACTCTCTAGCGATTTAAAAAAAAAAACAGAGAGGAGCTATCAGAGTTGCTCCCAACCATCCCTTGGTCTTTCTCTTTTTTTTCTTTTTGAGAGGTTTTTGCTATAGGGTGCATGCGCTCGCCAGAAAGACAGAGACAGAGAGACAGAAAGCAAGAAATCACCCCCCCCGGGGGGGATGGCCATGCCACAATCCCTTCTCCTCTCGGGATCTTGGGCACGCACGCACATGTGCCCGGCGTGAGTTTAAGCTACCAGGTCCGGGATTCAAACTGCAGTCAACTACATGGGAGTTCAGCGACATAGCCATTATGCTAACTGCTGGTCTCTTCCCTGATCTTTCTTTAGGAGAGCCTGGAAAGTGCCTTGATGGGGACCCACCAGGAGCTGGAGATGTTTGGAAGCCAGCCCGCCTACCCGGAGAAGCTGCTGCACAAGAAGGAATCTCTGCAGAACCAGCTCATCAACATCCGGGTGGAGCTGTCACAGGCGACCACGGTAACCTGGGAGCAGGGTCTGCGCGCCCACCACTGGGTCAACATCACACAGTCACCACCTCCCAGGCTGTACTGTCCAAATCCAGCATCCCAGGATGCTCCTGCCTGGGGCGGGGCAGGGCGGGGCAGTGGGTGGGGCACGACAAAGACCTAAGGCTGTCCTGCAGACAGGCGAGGAGTGTGCCAGCCTGCCCACACAGGTCTCCCTGGGGAGGTGAGCTGCACTCCCTCCTGCTCTGCCTGCACCAGGATTCCCTGGGGCAACTCGAGGCTGACCTCACCCTTTGCGGACTATCTCTGTCCTCCCCTTGGAGAAGCAGGCACAGGAGGTTGCTACTGACCTGGTCACATCCCATGGGCACGGGGCGGGTCCCCCATGTAGCCTCCTTGGGTCATGGCTCTAAGCAACAGCAGCAGCAGAAGCCCCAGAAAGGAGGAACATCTCTGATCTCCAGAGAATGCACGTCCTCCCTTCAGGCTCCTTTTTTTTTTTGGTTCCCTTCACTCTTGTCACCCAGTCTGGGACAGTCAGGAGGGTCTGGAAGTGATCTCATCCCCTCTTGGTCTGACCACGTACCTAGAAAGAGTTTTCTCACAGCTGGGGTTTTCAGTGAGCTGGCTGGTGCACGTCTTCTAAGGCCAGGGTTTGTCTGTCACCAACCTGTCTCAGCCCTGTCCCTCTGTGCTCCCATCCCCATCCCCAGGCCTCAGGCCCCCTGGCCTCAGGCAACTAGGGACAGGGAGGAATACTTGGATGACGGCCTTTCTTGGGAACCCTTCCCCCTACAGGCCCTGGCCAACAGCACCGTAGAGTATGAGCACCTCGAGGCTGAGGTCTCCGCCCTACATGACGACCTCTGGGAGCAGCTCAATCTGGACATCCAGGTGAGGTTGGGTCCCGAGCAGGTGGGGGCTAGAGTGTGCTCTGTACCCCATCCTCTTAGACAAAGAGACCCAGGAGGCTTCATTTCTTATTGTAGCGAACCCAGAAACTTAAGAGGAGTTGGTCCTGAGATTCAGAGACACCAAAAATCTACTCTAAGTTTCAGGATAAAGATCATGTGGTATTCTCTTGTGGTTCATTCCACTCACCCAGAGGAGCTGCGGCTGAGGCCTGGGAGACAGAGCAGACGTGAGGTGTGTTTCTACCGAAAGTATTTTAAAAACAGGTGTGTGGGACCAGCAGTTGCCATAATGGCTATGTCTGTCGCTGGACTCCCATGTAGTCAGCTGCGGTTCAAGTCCCAGAACCAATGGCTTAAACTCATGCCGGGCGCGTGTGCGTGCGTGCCCAAGATCCCAAGAGGAGAATGGAGGAGAAAGGACTGCAGCGTGGCCATCCCCCTGGGGGGTGATTTCTCACTTGCTGTCTCTCTGTCTCTCTGTCTTCTGGAGAGCGTACACGCCCTATAGCAAAAACCTCTTTAAAAAATACTAATAATAATAAAGAACAGGCACGTGGTGCCAGCGGTTAAGGGAGTGGTTAAGGGAGCTGGATTGCACGTGATCCGGTGTGATTCGAATCCTGGCCTGGTGGCTTGGGAAACATCAAGTTTGAATCCTGGGGCTGGCAGCTTGAGAAACACAAGACAGATACATGTTCTGGGCCCCAAATCCTGAAAGGATGGAGAGTTGGAGGGGACAGGATCACAGCGTGACCACACCCCACGAGGTGCTTTCTCGCTCTCTCCTTGGCAGGCACATACACTCTCTGGTAATTAAAAAAAAAAATAGGACCTGCAAATATAAGTAGCTCATGACATCAGACAAGTGGGCAGTGTGGGGCAATCTACTCCAACTTCCACATAGAGAGGCTTTCTTTTCGGGGTGGGTTAGGACGAAGCAGGAGGGTGGCCGTCGTAATCCCGGGGAGTTCTTTTCTTCCCTGTCTTTTCTCTGCCAGGCCCACCCTCTTCTCCAGCTCCTTTTGCAAGTTCTGACTCGGATGCAGTTAACACCCTGACCCTGCCCGAGTTTCCCTCCATCCCCTCTTGGAGACAACTCACCACCCCTACTTTGCAGCTTATTAGGCAATTTGAAGTGAAGACCCACTCCAGAGACCCCGAATTCAACATGCCATCCCCCTGGGGGGGTGATTTCTCACTTGCTGTCTCTCTGTCTCTCTGTCTTCTGGAGAGCGTACACGCCCTATAGCAAAAACCTCTTTAAAAAATACTAATAATAATAAAGAACAGGCACGTGGTGCCAGCGGTTAAGGGAGTGGTTAAGGGAGCTGGATTGCACGTGATCCGGTGTGATTCGAATCCTGGCCTGGTGGCTTGGGAAACATCAAGTTTGAATCCTGGGGCTGGCAGCTTGAGAAACACAAGACAGATACATGTTCTGGGCCCCAAATCCTGAAAGGATGGAGAGTTGGAGGGGACAGGATCACAGCGTGACCACACCCCACGAGGTGCTTTCTCGCTCTCTCCTTGGCAGGCACATACACTCTCTGGTAATTAAAAAAAAAAATAGGACCTGCAAATATAAGTAGCTCATGACATCAGACAAGTGGGCAGTGTGGGGCAATCTACTCCAACTTCCACATAGAGAGGCTTTCTTTTCGGGGTGGGTTAGGACGAAGCAGGAGGGTGGCCGTCGTAATCCCGGGGAGTTCTTTTCTTCCCTGTCTTTTCTCTGCCAGGCCCACCCTCTTCTCCAGCTCCTTTTGCAAGTTCTGACTCGGATGCAGTTAACACCCTGACCCTGCCCGAGTTTCCCTCCATCCCCTCTTGGAGACAACTCACCACCCCTACTTTGCAGCTTATTAGGCAATTTGAAGTGAAGACCCACTCCAGAGACCCCGAATTCAACATGTCCCCTGGACAAACCTCACCTTAAACACAAACACGCTAGGAGGTAGGATAGCATTGTGGTGAGAGACCAGCCTGTGAGTCAGACAGACCAGAATTGGCTGGGGGTCATGCTGCTAACTGGCGGTCCTAGGAAGGAGCCTTCTCAAATCCGACGTGGGCCAGGGGCTACCCTGACCGCAGAGAGCTGTGGTCAGTGCAGTGCGCCACTCCGGTGCCTGTGCTGAGGGAGGAGAGGCCAGAGCTCAGTGCTGTCCGTCGGTGTCCAACGTGCCTGCGTAGAGTTCACGGCCATGCAGGCATGTGTGGGCTGGGGTGCTGCGAAGGGCTGTCTGCATACGAGGAAACACAGTAAACTGCAGAGTCTTGCTTTCTGGGCAGCGGTACTATCAAGAGTGCACCCAGAGAGCGTCACCCTGAGAGCCCCCTGAGCTCCCCTGCCTTGCCCAGAAGGGCAGCCCCTCACTCTCCTGGTTCTGAGATTCCAGCCATTTAGGGACGTCGTCTTGTGGAAGCTGAAGAGATCCAGGCTGCCCATGGAATGCGGACTGCACTGCAGAGGGCTGTGGGGGTGTCTCCTGCCTTCTGCTGTATGGGAGCCAGGCTAGGGGAGGGCTAGGACAATCATCCCGCCGCCGCCTTTGACTCTCCTGTGGCTGTAGGGCTAGGACACGCCTCCCGCCGCCGCCTTTGACTCTCCTGTGGCTGTTGCAGAATGAGGTGCTCAACCGGCAGATCCAGAAGGAGATCTGGAGGATCCAGGACGTGATGGAGGGGCTGCGGAAGAACAACCCGTCCCGGGGCACGGACACAGCCAAGCACAGAGGTGGGCGCCTCCTCCGCCACACGGGCCTCTTGCCTCCCCAGAAGTACTTCCAGCCTCTAGTGTTTCTGCCTCCATCCCACACCTGCCAGCTCTCTCTGCTCAGAGCCTGTCAGGGCTGGAATCTTCCCCTGGGTAGGCAGGGCTCCCCACTATCCACAGAACAGAACAGGCAGGCCACAGAGAGACCGTGACCCTGGTACTCTAAATCCGCTGCAGAAAATGTCAGAGGGCGCCCGAACCTCCCTAGTCCCTGGCACACAGGCTGACTGGTGACCTGTAGCCCCCACTTTAGTATCTCCTTGAGCCCTGGATGTCATGTGGCTTTCTCTGACACCTTGGGGACAGTTGTGTCATTTCCATCCACTGTCCTCCTGCCCAGCACACTTCTCGACAGCCAGCCTGAGACCTCAGCCCAGGGGACCCTGAAATGCTAAATGCTCCCTCTGATCCCTGGGTCTTGTTCCTCCCCTGCCTCCTCCACCCACAGTGGCCATCGCACCCCAGGCCACACCCGTCCTCTGGCCCTCATCTCTGTCCCCTTCTGTTTCCCCCCAGGAGGACTTGGTCCCTCGGCCACCTACAGCTCCAACAGCCCAGCCAGCCCGCTCAGCTCCGCCAGCCTCACCAGCCCCCTGAGCCCCTTCTCCTTGGTATCCGGCTCTCAGGGGTCCCCCACCAAGCCCGGGTCCAACGAGGTAAGCTGGGAAAGTGGAGTAGAAGGTAGGTGGGGGAGGGAGGGAGGGCTGACTCATTTACCTGAAACAACAGATTCTGTGCCTGTCTTTCCCAGAGGCTTCTGGGCTCTCTGTCACATCGTTCTCACACCCAGTTTGTGACCTTCCTTCAGATCTCCCTGCACCTGTCCTCATCTCTGTCACCTTCAGCCCCCTTTCAGGGAAGTCTTCCTGAGCACTAGGCCACTTAGCAGAGATTCCATGTGCTTAAAGGAACTGAAGTCCATGTGGTTCCAGGGGGTGAGGGGGTTGAGGGGCATGCAGACAGCAGTTTCACAGTCAGTCAACCAGCACGTGTTTGCTGAGGCCCTACTGTGGGCTAGGGACGGCACGAGGTCCTCTCACTAAGACCTAGCAGGCCTGGGCCTTCCCTCGGGCAGCCTGGCCTCCAGTGGGGCCAAGACTGAACCATGGCAGAGAGCCAGCCTACAGAGCCTGGTGGCACAGTCTCAGTAACCTCTGACCTTCCAACGAAGGCACCCCTGGTCATCAGGCATCCGGGGACGCCGAGGGACAGGGAGATGGTGGAAGGAAGGGCTGGAATGAGCCCACAAGTGGCGAGGGGGTGAAGGAGAGCTTGGGGCAGGCAGCAGTGGGGGTGGTGGGCCCAGAGCCCTCGCTCTGGAGTTGGAGCTCTGTCCAGCCAGGGGTGGGGGTCGGGGCCCGGGGGCCCACCCAGGTTCCCACAAGGTCGCCCTCACCGTCTGCCTCTCGCTAACGCTCTTTTCTCCTGGTCTCACAGTGGCTGCTCTCGTTCCTCCTAATGCTCTGGCTTCTCTCTGCCTCAGGAGCCCGGCCCGCCTCGGCCGCCCCTCCCCAAAGCCTACGTCCCCCTGGAGTCTCCTCCAACCGTCCCTCCACTCCCTAGCGACAGCCGCTTCTGGCCATACCCCAACTCCCCATCCTGGCACCACAGTGGCGAGACAGCTAGGGGTCAGGTACCCAGCACCCTTGGGTCCGGGTCCTGGAGGGTGGGAGCAGGGAGAACGGGCAAAGGACCAGCTGAGGGGGCAAGGAAGGACCCTGGTGTTTCTCCGTTAACTCCCAAAGCTCAATTTCCGCTGGGCCCCTGCCCAGTTGGACTCTGGGTTAGGAAAAGGGATGGCAGAGGCGGTCACCCAGGCCACCTTCCCTGTTCCTTTCTGTGGTCAGTAGGGAAATGAGTCACCGCCCTGCCCATCCCTGGCTCCTGCAGCCAGTGGTTGTGGGTACTGGTGTGCCCCACTCCCTGCCAGTGTGACCAGCCAGTAGAGATGGAGTGACACCCCTACTCTGCCTCCCCCTCAGGCCCCAATCCTCTCATGCTCTCTCTCTCTGCCTCCACCTCATTTTGTGCCCCCTGGGGTCTCAAGAGCCCCTGGAGTAGAAGGACACAGGCCCTTCACTCCCCTCTTCTGGCTCCTTCTCTCACCTGGATCCCTTGCCAAGCTCCAGCAGATATGCAGTTAGGCTTGGAAGAGGTTGCGTGGTGAGTAGAAAGAGGCCCGGACCTAACCTGGACACCGTGTGCCCGCCTAGCTCTGCCGTGTCCGTTTGCACAACCTGAGGTGCGCGCGGAGGTGGCAGAGCAGGTAATGTTCCCCGTACTGAAGACACACAAGGTGCTGCCCTGACCCGTGCACTCTCGCTGGGCTGGAACTGGCGCTCCTGAGCTGCAGCTGCCTCCTTTCTGTACTCCTCGCTGAGACAGATTCTTCAACGTACAGTGGGCGAGGTGGCTCGGAGGGCGTCCGAGGTCCCTTCCAGGCTCATGATTCTGTGGCACACAAGCCAAAGGCCCTTTTCCTTCCCCCAGAACCCTGGTACCGAGGCCCACCTGGTTCTGTGTGTTCAGGTGGGAGCAGAACAGAACCCTTAGACCCTAGTCTTGCAGCCCCTCCTGTAACCAGCCCTCGACTGGCTCAGCAAAGCTGTGCTTCTTGGTGATTGTCAGGACAGCAGGTTGGGTTGAGGCTTCAACGGACGCCCTCCTGGGGGCTCAGAGCTCTCCCTCCCCAAGATGCACTAGATCGACCAGCCTTTAGGTTCAGGGGTGGGAGCTCCAGTGCATCCCCACCCACCGGCCGCCCATCACACGGGGAACTGCCCTATTCCCTGTGTCTTCAAGGGTTTAGCTGGAACCCTTGCAGAACAAAGAAACATCCCTGGGGGCCGAGTTCCTGCCAGCCACTCTAGCAGCAGTGTCTCTCCTTTCTCCCCAGCCCAAGGCAAGCTACGAGCAAAGCAAGAAAGACCCCCACCAGACCTCGCCCTTGGACGCGCCCAGAGACATCAGCCTTGTGCCCACCAGGCAGGAAGCAGAGGCAGAGAAACAGGCAGCTCTCAACAAAGGTACTTCCTGTCCCCTCCTCCCCTGGAAGTAAGCTCGAGGGTCAGAGAGGTGCTCTGGCTGCTCATTCACTCCCAAAGAAAGGGCTTACCCCCTTCTGGGCTTTTAATCTTGTGGTGAGAGGGACTAGCCTCTTTCTGAGAAGCAGGTCCCTGCCTTCCTGTTAAGGCCCACCGGCTGCTCTCTCTCCCTGCAGTTGGCATTGTGCCCCCCCGGACAAAGTCCCCCACAGATGAGGAGGCAACCCCTTCAGGAGTGGTGAGGAGGAGTGCCAACGGGCTGACCAATGGCCTGTCCTCCCGGGTGAGTACGTGCCCACGGGCTCTGAGAGCTGGGCTGCCTCCCGGGAGCCTGTGTGTCCACCCAACTGCGTGACTGTTGAGGAAACCCAGGGCCAGGGGAGGAGGGTAGAGCAAACAAAAACAACAGCCCTCCCCCCAGGAGAAATTCTCTCTTGGGGACACATTTAAGGGACACGGACAATGTGCATAATGAACATGAAAGAATATTTAGCAGGGCCAGCAGGAGCTGTGGTGGTTAAGATGCTGGATCCCACATGGTCGACTGTGTGCTTTATGACTCAGACCCGGTGGCTTGAAAAGACCAGAAGCTTGTGTCTGCACACCCCAGATCCTAAGAGAACAAAGGAGAAGGGATTGTGACATGGCTGTCCCCTCTGGGGGGTGATTTCTCACTCTCTCCCTCTCTGGTGGTCACACACACCCTATAGCAGAAAGAGAAACCAAAAAAAAAAAAAAGGAGTCCCAGCAGGTAGCGTGGTGGTTAAGGTGCTGGATTCCCACATGGCCAACTGTGGTTCGAGTCCTGGATTCAGTAGCTTGAAAATCATGTCGGGCACGTGTGTGTGCTTGCCCAGTCCAGACTGGAGAAGAAGGGATTGTGTCTGGCCATGCCCCTTGGAGGGTGACTTCTCACGTTCCCTCTCATTGTCTCTGAGTCACTCCAGCAAGTACACACACTCTAAGGCAAAAAATCCTAAAAAAAAAAAAAAAAAAATAGGAATTAGGAGAATTGTCAGAACATGACCTTACTGAGATATGAACTCCATGGCAGTCACGCGTGCTGACCCGAGGCAGCGTCTTCATTTCCAAGGGCGGCCAGCAGCTGGAAAACTACCGCAAGCGGGTGGCTTAAAACAGCACACATTGATCCTGTCCGTAGAGGCCAGAAGTCCAAAGCCGAGGTGTCGTCAGGGATGGTTGGTTTGGAGATTCCGAGGGGAAGGCCATTTCGTGCCTTTCTAGGACATGGTGGTTCCTGCCAATTCTTGACGTTCCGTGGCTTGTAAAGGCGTCTGTCCAGGCTCTGCCTGACTGTACGTCTGTGTACCTTCTCCTTTCTGTCTCATAAGGGTACCTGTCCTGGGATTTAAGATCTACCCAAGCCCAGGATGATCCCATTGGGGGATTCCTTATTAGGTCTTCAGAAACCCATGTCCAAATAAGGTCACAGTCTCAGGTGTCAGGGTTAGCCTTTAGACATATCACTTGGGAGCAGCTATTCAGCAGTCCACTCTCTGGCCCCCAAATTTCATACTCATTCCACTGTAAAATACATTCACTCCTCCCAACACCCCCCAAAGACTTAATCCATGACAGCATCAACTCTAAAAATGTCTCTAAAGATCATTGACTCAAAAGTCTCAAATCTCGGGGATTAGTGGATGGCCTAATGGTTACATCGCTGGACTCCCATGTAGTTGACTGCAGTTTAAGTCCCAGACCCAGTAGCTCCAAACTCATGGTGGGTGCATGTGCATGTGTGCCCAAAATCCTGAGAGGAGAATGGAGAAGAAGGGATTGTGGCGTGACCATCCCCCAGAGGGTGATTTCTCACTTTATGTGTCTCTCCAATGAGCACACACGCCCTAGAGCAAAAATCTCTCTAAAAAATAAAAAAAATGCCTCAAATCTCATCATCTAAATCATCTCCACAAGTATTCCTGAGATGCTAGACAGGATCAGTCTTGGGGCAAAATTCCTTTCCATCTGTGAAACTAGAAAATAAATAAATCAGGACCCAGCAGATGGTGGTAACGATTATATCACTGGACTCCCACGTAGTCGACCATGGTTCAAGTTCCAGACCTTGTGGCTTAAGACTCATGGGGTTGGGGGTGGTGGCAGGTGGCGTGGTAGTTAAGGGTGCTGGACTCCCACATGGTCAACTGTGGTTCAAGTCCCAGACCTGGCGCCTTGCTTTCTCTTTCTCTCTCCATCCCTCTTTGGTCAAATTTTAATGAATTAATTAAAGTTTAAAAAATATTCTTAAAAAAATAACTCATGCTGGGCACATGTGCGTGTGGTGCCCAAGATCCCAAGAGTAGAATGAAGAAGGGATCGCAGCATGGCCATCCCACAAGGGGATGATTTCTCGCTTTCAGTCTCTCTGTCTCTCTCTGCCTCTCCAGTGAGCACATGCACCCTATAGCAAAAATCTCTCCTAAAAAATAAAAGAAAAAAGAAAGAAATCTTGGGCTGGCAGGTGGCATGGTCATTGAGGTGCCAGATTCCCACATGGCTGACCATGATTTGAGTCCCAGACCTGGTGTCTTGATTTCTTTCTCTCTCTCTCTCTTTCTCTGTGTCTCTCTGATCAAATTGAAGAATAATAGTAAACAAATAAAATAAATAATTCTTTTAAAAAAAAAAAGAAAATAAATGAATCTCTCTTTAAAATACATGATGAGACAGGCATAAGGTTGTCATTTCTGTCCCAAAAAAGGACAGAAGGAACCTTTATTTTGTTGGAAATCCTGCAACGCAACTCCCATTCGGATCCAGGACCTGAGGAGAATCCGCCATGACCCTCTCATTCCGAGGCTCCACCAGCCCTGCCTCCAGGCCTGCCTCTGTTTTGTCTGTCTCTATGCCCGTGCACGGCTCTGCTTGCAGAACCGTTCTTTCTGTTCTGAAGATGAGCGTATATCCATATCCAAGTAGCTCTGTTGGCCTCTCTCGCCTGCATCAGATTCCCAAAAGCCTCATCGCCTTGTTACTTTCTTTTTCCCTCCATCCCTATTAGTGCAAGCTGGGGGTGTTTCTGCCGATGCAACATTTGGAAAAACCTTGTCCGTCTCCTGTGTATTTCAAGGGGATTTATGCTGTTAGAGAATTCTCTGCAAATCCTTCTTGGCTAATCCTGTTTCTATTTCTGGCTTCTTCCGAGATGGCCCATGAGTTACATGCCCAGTCTCCCCAGAAAAACGCTTTCCGGTGCGTCCTTGACGCTCTCCAGGGCACATTTTTCCACCAGGCATTTCCTATCGTGCAGCTCAAAATTCTTCCGGGCTGTGCCCATTACCCATCCCCGAGTCTCTAGCACGTTCTAGGTAGGTTATAGCAGCACCCCCCGCTTCCTACACCAGCATGTCCGTTAGTTTCCGTGGACTGCTGTAACAAATGACCACATGCTGGGTGGCTTTAAAGAACACAAACGTATCCTCTCATAAATGTGGGAGACAGAGCCCAAACTCAGGGTGATGGCAGGGATGATTCTGGAAGGGCTGTTTCCCATCTTACGGTCATTGCCGGGAATAGTTGGCATTCTTTTCCAAGTGGAGGGCTTGCTCCCACCTCTGCCTCCATCTTCACCCCACCCTTAGTTCCGTGTGCTCTCATCTTTTCTGTCCTTTATGAGGACACGTACTATTGGATCTAGGGCTCACTCTACTTCGGGATGACCTCATATTTCCAAAGGATGTTCCATTCACAGGCAACAGGAGTTAGGACTTGGATATATCTCTGAGAGGGCCACTAGTCAACCCCTATAGGCAGGGAAAACTGAGGGCTAAGGGTGGGTAAAAAGCTGGGTGGAGGACAGGCATGCGTCAGGGTCTTGTCTGTCTGCCACAGCAGGAACGCCCCAAGAGTGCCGTGTTCTCTGGCGAGGGGAAGGTCAAGATGAGTGTGGAGGAGCAGATCGACCGGATGCGGCGGCACCAGAGCGGCTCCATGAAGGAGAAGCGAAGGAGCCTGCAGCTCCCGGCCAGCCCAGCCCCCGAGCCCAGCACCAGGCCCGCCTACAAAGTGGTAATGACTTCCAGCTACCCATGAGTATAGCCTGGCATCTGCCAACACTGCCCACACCCAGGGCATGGCCAACCTGGGCCAGGGAGGTGTGAGAGGATGGACACTTAAAAAACCACCTGGGGGCCATCAGGTGGTATGGTGGTTAAAGGCATTGGATTCCCCGGACCAGCAGTTAGCGTAAAGGCTATGTCGCTGGACTCCCACGTAGTCGACCACGGTTCTCGTCCCGGACCCGGTGGCTTAAAACTCACGCCGGGCGCGTGTGCATACATGCCCAAGATCCCGAGAGGAGAATGGAGGAGAAGGGATTGCGGCGTGACCATCCCCCCGGGGGGTGATTTCTCGCTTTCTGTCTCTATGTCTCTCTCTGTCTGTCTGGCGAGCGCACGCGCCCTACAGTGAAAATCTCTCCAAAAAGAAAAAAGAAACCAGCACAAAATCATGCAGGACTAGCTATCATTTGTACAATTCTGGAGCATTTGCTCTGTGCTTGGTAGGGGCCGCCTATTCCGAAGATAATCACAATAGCTTACCTTTACATGACACCTCTTTCGTGCTGTTTAATCCTTTCAGCAGCAGGGGTTAGGGGTTTTTATCCCCATTTTACAGCTAGGGCAGCAAAGTCAAGAGGAAGTAAGTTACAACTTTTCAGTGCAGAGCTGGGAGTAGGCCCAGGCATCCGCTTGGTTTCTCTTTCTACTGAATTTCCGAGATACAGAAAAAGTATGAGTCCAAAGTCCTCACCTCAGACAGTTTCCATTCCAGCTGAAGGACTGGAACGTCTATGATCTGAGTCAATTAGACATCAACTCCAGACATGCCAATTCAGCTGCCCACGGCGTATGGCAGGACGTGGCAGGGTTGGGGGCTGCAGGTCCTGGCAAGGGTATTGATGAGAGCTGACCTCTGCGGCCTTGCCGGTGGGCAGGCTGTGGTGAGGAGCAGGTGGAGGATCATGCTGCGGTGGGGACAGTGCACCAGGGAGAGCGGCGGCCAGCTCAGGTGCACCAGGCGGGAAGAGCGAGGACTTGGGCGCGGTCAGAGCTACCTGGAGGCACGATGGCCGTGGGACCAAGGCCCTGAGTGATCGTGACAGTGCTATTTCCTAGGTACGCCGCCACCGCAGCATCCACGAGGTAGACATCTCCAACCTGGAGGCCGCCCTGCGGGCAGAGGAGCCTGGTGGGCAGAACTACGAGACGCCGCGGGAGGAGATTGCCCGGCTTCGCAAAATGGAGCTGGAGCCGCAGCACTATGACCTGGACATCCACAAGGAGGTGAGTGGGGCCCAGGGGCCTCCGGGGGAGTGACCCCTCCCCATCGGCTGTAGGCGGTGACCTCAGTCCCTCCACAGCTCTCCACTCCAGACAAAGTCCTTATCCCCGAACGGTACATCGACCTGGAGCCCGACACGCCCTTGAGCCCTGAGGAGCTGAAGGAGAAGCAGAAGAAGGTGGAGCGGATCAAGACGCTTATTGCCAAGTCCAGGTAACAGGCTTGTGGGTGCCTGCGTGTCCTCTGCCCACCCTGGCACCTAGGACTCCTGGGGCCCTAGACGTCGCTGGAGGTACTGGGCCTCCCCAGGGGAGAGCAAGGTGAGGCAGTGGCTCGAGGCAGCAGGCCGGGCCCAGGCATCAGGCTAGCAGGACCCACTGGGCTCCTGCACGTCGTATCGTCAAGGCAGACTGGAGGGTCGCCCTCTGGTCACTTCTTTTCCCCTCCAAGGCTGCCCTAGATGTTCACTTGAACCTTCTAATTTGTTTGAGAACGTCGAAGGTGGGAGTCCCAACCGTGTTTTGCCAGGGTCCTGCTCACTCCTAGGGACAGCCTTGCTGGGAACCAGAGCTGCACACTCGTGGGCCCCTGGCCCTCCCCGCCAGCCTCCACCTGCAGGCCCCCCAAGCCCATTGGACCATCCTGTCCCTCCCTCCATGCCTGTGTGTCTGTGCCTCTTCAGTATGCAGAACGTGGTGCCCATCGGCGAGGGGGACTCTGTGGACGTGCCCCAGGACTCAGAGAGCCAGCTGCAGGAGCAGGAGAAGCGGATTGAAATCTCCTGCGCCCTGGCGACCGAGGCCTCCCGCAGGGGCCGCATGCTGTCTGGTGAGAGGGGCTGGGCCTCACTCCGCCAGGGAGGCCAGCTGACCAGGTGTAGGGGAGGAAGCGCAGTGCTGCGAGGGGGGCAGGGCCAGGGAGACTCAGGACCACATTCCTCAGGGTCAGGGTGAGCATTTGCTGAGCACCAGGTTCTGTGCTAGGCCTGCAGGGTACAAGGGATCAGAGCTGCTGCCACCCAGGAGCCCAGAGCCATGGCCATCTTTCTGTCCACTCCGTGAGGGATGGCAGAAGCCACATGGGAGCACAGGGTGCCCTTCTGCAGGGGCAGGTCACAGAAAGGCACAGAGAGGTGATCGTTGAGTTTGACTGGGGAAGGGATTACCGGTTAGGTAAATGGGGGTATTCCAAGGTGCCCTGTTACTTCCTGTCCTTGTTCTGTACAAGAGGAAGAGTAGCTGAGAAGACGGTGTAGCACCAGGGGCTCTGAGAGTGATCCAGGCACCACCCAGGCTGCTGACCCAACCCCACTTCTCTGCTAAGAAAGGACAAGGAACTGATTTCCCATGACAGCAAAGACCAGTGGGTCCCAGGTAGACACTGGGAGGGTTCAAGTCAACAGGATTCACTTCCGCCCAGCCTGAGAAAGCATCTTGGAGTGGACAGCATGTCACTGGGCTTTGTAGAAAGAAACTGATGACGTCCGACCAGGAGGGATACAGTAGGAAAGGCAGCGGCAGGTCACAGAGCCCAGGAGAACGTCCTCTTCAAGACAGAGGTGATCAGGATGGAGCCCTAGAGAGAGTGAGGGCTTTGAAGGACATGGTTAGGGGAATGATCTAGAAGGGAGCCATGGTTTCAGGTGAGTTTGCTAGAGGAGAGAGAGACCAGGTGTACAGGACACAGTTAGACCCACCTGTCCAAGAGTCAGGCAGCAAGCACTGTTGCTGGGAACGTGGTGGGAACATGGCCGATTAAAGAGGACCCTGGCACTCTGAGACTCCATTTCCTCATCTGTGAAATGCAAATCAAAATCCCTGCCTCAGGGACCAGCAGTTAGCGTAATGGCTATGTCGCTGGATTCCCACGTAGTCGACCACGGTTCGTGTCCCGGACCCGGTGGCTTAAAAAACTCACGCCGGGCGCATGTGCGTGCGTGCCCAAGATCCCGAGAAGAGAATGGAGGAGAGGGGATTGCGGCGTGACCATCCCCCCTGGGGGGTGATTTCTCGCTTTCTGTCTCTGTGTCTCTCTCTGTCTGTCTGGCGAGCGCACGCGCCCTACAGTGAAAATCTCTCAAAAAAAAAAAAAAAAAAAAACCTGCCTCCAGGTGCTTTATCCTCAGGGGTGAGCATCGGAACCAGGTGTGGCGAGCACCTAGCACAGTGCCTGGCCTTAGTAAGTGCTCAGTAGATGCGGGCCGTCCGTGGTGGTCGTGACCGTAGCAGTAGCGTCGGTGTCGTGGTAGTAGTAGAAATAGCAGTAGCTAAAGTAGAAGTAGGAACCATGTGTTCTTTTTTTGATTATCGAAAATATGGATATTTTTAGAAACCAGAAGACTTTAGTCTAAGCCTCAAGGAAGAGCCACCCGGTGGTTAGGGAACGGTGAACTTTAGAAGGGGCAGCCAATTGGGCTGAGTTGAGGGGAAGATCAGGGTGCTTCAGAGAGCCCCATCCTTCATCCAAAAGGCAGCAGAACCAGTTTGGCTGGAAAGGAGTGTTCTGTGCAGCCTCCCTGTGGTGTAGCTGGGAAGTGAACTTGAACCTTCCAAAGATCAAATTCCACGTGCTCTGGGCAGAAAGCAACTTCCTGTGCCAGAGGGACAGAGCTGTTGTAAAGGCTTTGCTCTGCCCCAGCCCCAGGCCCTGGCGATCACTACGACTATCTCCAGCCAAGGGTTCCGTGCAAACAACCCACCCTGCTGGTCAGCTTCCCCCTCGGTACACATGGGCTTGCATTTCGGGGCCTGTGTGCCGAAAGCAAATGGTCACCTTGCTTTTGCCAAAACCCCAACTATGTGAAAAATGGCTATGGCAGGGCCAGACCTCAGACTTAGCCCACTGTCCCCACCGCCCCTGGCCTGCAGCCCAGACCCCGGAGCTACATCCTTGCCAGTACAACATAGCTCACGTCGGCTGCTGTGTGGGAGTGCTGGGCACAGGCCGTGAGGGCAGTGTGTGAGCTAGTGCCCACGCGTGGGAATGTGTACAGGCCGCAGGGTGCGTGTTGTGACGTGCACAGGTCCACCTGGGATGTAGAAATTCAAGTATGCCGTATGCAGGAAGAGGCGGTGGGCACGTTTATACACGTGGTGTGAATGCGTGAGCCATGTCTCTGTTGGGCAGTGTCCGTACATACACGTGTATCTGTGTGTATCCCAGCGTGCAGAGCGAGGGTGGAGGGAGTATTTGAGCGCAAACATAGGAATATGATGCGTGTATGTGCAAAATGGCTATGGGTGCTATGTGGAGACCCGGTAGGAGTCTGAGTGGTGTGTGGTAAGGTGTGGCAGCCTAGGACATGCATGGAAGTGTACCTCATACGTGTGGGGTAGTGTTAGAAATGCACACATGGGATCAGCAGATGGTGCAATGGTTACATTGCTGGACTCCCACGCAGTCAACCACAGTTCGAGTCCCAGACCCAGCGGCTTAAAACTCATGCCAGGCACATGCGCATCTGTGCTCAAAATCCCGAGAGGAGGATGGAGAAGGGATTATAATGTGGCCACCCGCCCTGGGGGGTGACTACTTGCTTTCTGTCTCTCTGTCTCTCCTGTGAGCGCACGCACCCTACAGCAAAAATCTCTCAAAAAATAAAAAGAATGCACGCATGTGTGTGCGATCGGCCTTTTGGTAGTGCGGGCACGATAGGGCATGTCTGTGATGTGTGCAGCCCAGTGCCGCATGCGTGAACAGGTCTGGGTGTGCAGGAGAGAGAGGGCACAGCCTCGGGAATGTGAGTGCCTGTGGTTGATGATGGTGTGTGCGGGCATGGTAGGACTTGGGACCACACGTGTTGTCGTACCACATGTGCCGATACGCTACTGCCACCTGGGTGACTCTGAACTATTTCTGATGGGCATATTCCTAACAGAGGTTTAGCATTTTTCTGCCTTCTTTTTTTTTATTTTTTAGGAGAGATTTTCACTATAGGGCGCGTGCACTCGCCAGACAGACAGAGAGAGAGACAGAGAGACAGAAAGCGAGAAATCACCCCCCAGGGAGGATGGTCACGCCGCAATCCCTTCTCCTCCGTTCTCTTCTCGGGATCTTGGGCACGCACGCACACGCGCCCGGCATGAGTTTTAAGCCACCGGGTCCGGGACACGAACCGTGGTCGACTACGTGGGAGTCCAGCGACATAACCATTACACTAACTGCTGGTTCCCTTCTCTGCCTTCTTAAAGAGGTTGTGTTCAGGTAGTTAACTTCACTTCCTCATTCAGTATCATAATAAATATCTTTGTTTGCAGACCATTGTTAAAGAGATGCCCTTAGGAGCCCCCATTGTCTAAATCTATTTCTATCCCAAATATTCCCAAACAGTGATTCTTTTAAAGATATGTCGTCTACTTTTTACAAAAGCATTTCCCTCTTTAGTTGCACCTTCTTCTAAATATCGGTGGGCCTCTCTTCTCTCTCCTCCTCCCTCTCCTTCCGAAGTTTCCTATTTCTAGTCTGTGGGCCAGAAACCCGCCAAGTCAACACCTATTACAATTGTGTTTAAATAAAGTAACTGGGCTCTGTGGGGCTCTCCTATGAATAAATTATAAGAGCCTCACTGCATATTTGTTGTAACATCTGTTTTGGCTTCCTTGAGCTCTGCCTTTGCTAAGTTTGGATTTTTGACCTTTCTAGAACTGAGGGTTGCCAAATAACTAACCCCTGGTTAGCGCTGTGAATATGCACACAACATGTGTTTGTGAGTGTTTGCAAATGTATTTGGACATGAAGTTGCAGGTGTGTTGCATTTTGTGGAACGGCACAGAACTGGCAGTGCACCTGCATCTGAGTGAGTGTCGCTGTGTGGTGTTGCTGGGTCCTGTGGCTACAGTCGTACTGAGTGTGGGCAGACATAGCCGCCTGCCCCCGTGAGAGCTGTGTGCGTGATGTACAGATGGACACGTGGGTGTGTGCACATGCATGACCGCAAACGCTACCCGGGTCCTCTCTCTTGCACAGAGGGCAGGGAAGCTGATGAGGTCCAGGGCAGCGAGTAGGGGCTGGGAAGTTCCATGTCAGGACCCCTCTCTGTGGAAACGCAGTGTGACCCTGGCTGAGGTCTGGCTCTTCTCTGAGCCTGAGTGAGGACGTGTCCCTGCCATCCTCTGCCTCGCAGCTACACTGAGGATGCACTGGGACCTGGGGACTGCGGACATCTGGTCCCCAGGAATGTGACTCCCCGTGTCAGCGTCCTTGCCCTTTGCTCTTCTCCACATGGAATAATAATGATAATAGAGTAAAATCTCATTAATTCAAATGTCACCACCTGAAGGCTTATGTTGACCCGCTCATGGGTGGATTGGAGTTCGGCTTCACCAGATCGGAGACAGGGGGTTCTCAAGTGCTAGTGGGACCTGTGTTTCTGAGCCCTTGACACGTCTAAGTTAACAGAATTCGGCTCAAGCCTGTCTGAAGCCTCAGTCTGCATAGACTTGATTAACATGGTGGTCATGTCCCTCTGTCTGTTCATTGAGTGGGGCTGGATGATTTGGATTAGTGGATTTTACTGCATTATTAATCATTATCATGAGTGATACCACCATGTGTAAGGTACCACCCCTTGGGCCTATGTGCACAAGAGCGGAGAGGCATGGGACCCCCATCGTGTGGATGGGAGGGAGTGTTCAGCCAGAGCAGGCCTGGCCTCCTCCACAGTCACCTGGTTCTTTGCAGAGCTGGACTCGCCAGGCCTCCTCTCCAGCTTTGCCCTCTCCTCCATGGTGCCTGCCGGGAACGAGGGCCGCTTTGCCTGGGCCCCAGCAGGCTCCACGCTCAGCCCTCCCTGCTAGCCTCCCTGCCTCGCTTCCGCCTGAGGAGGGGCCTCGCTTGCTCTGGGTGCCCAGCCTCCCCCGCCCACCCTATTCACCTCCCTGTTCATTTCTGTTTCCAGTGCAATGTGCCACCCCAAGCCCTCCCACCTCCCCCGCTTCCCCGACTCCACCAGCCAACCCCCTCTCGTCTGAATCCCCGCGGGGCGCCGACAGCAGCCATGCCGTGCGGGTCTGAGCGCGGACGTAAGCACTTTTCTACTGTATTCCATCCTTCCCGGGAAGCAGGTCTCTTCCCTCACCTGCTCCAAGCCCCCAACCCTCTCATCCCACGTCGCTTCTCCCCACCCCGATACCCTTCCATCCATCCACTCGCTGCAGCCTGGGCTGGAGCCGGCTGACTGGGCTGCTTCTCAGATGTTCGATGCTGGTGGGCTTTGCTCTTCGGGAAGCAGACGGAATGAGCTGAGGCCTCATCTGTCCGCCATCAGGGAGCCACTTTCCGACCCCCCCTCCTCCTGTCAGCCAGTGAGCTGTCCATCTGTTGAGATGCTGCTGGCAGGCCCACAGCAGAACCCTCAGAAGCCCCCAGAACCACTTCTCCACCCCAGCCTTCCTGTACCTTACACTGGACAGCTGCAGCCAAAGCCACGGCCCTTCCCTTCTGCCGGGACACAGCATGAGGCACAGGCAGGAAGGGAAGAGCTGACCTCCCTCCATGTGTCCCATTCTTGTTAAGGGAGCGGGTGGGTTTCTGCCAGGATTCACAAGACAAAGCCTCTCCCTGGGAAGGTTGGCTGGAGGCCTCATCCCTCTACAGCCTGTCTCACCCTGCTCTCTTTTCTCCAGTGCAAGCCCTGGCCGAGGCCAATGCTGGGAAGCTCCACAGAGCCACATTCTGAAGCTGTCCTCTACCTGCCTGAGGTCCTGGCTCCTCACCCTGGCCCCCTGCCCCTGCGCTCCTGTGGGAATGCTGCAAGGAGCCAGGCTGGGGTCCAGGGCTGCTGCCGAGAGGAGTGTGGGTACCTTGGTGTCCACACGTCCACTGCACCTCGCCCGGAAGCTGTCATCACTCAGACTGTGGTCCTAGGCCAGGGCCTGAGATGAGCGGTAGGGGGCCCTGTCCTTTCTGATGCCTGAGTCGCGGGGGATCCTCAGCCTGGCTCTGACTGGGGTTATGCTGGTCCTACTGGAACATTCCCGATGGAGAATGTGCCCTGGTGGGTAGCACTCCCTTGGCTGTCTTAGGTCAGAGCTAGAGGTGAAGGGCAGTCTGAACACTCTGCCTCTTCAAGCCCCACGTGACACGGAGGACAGCACCCGCTGCCATCCCCCACCCATCTGCCCATCCTTGTGTCCCAGCCGTGCCCAGGGCTCTGACATATCTCTGCTTCTGGGTGCTCCTCTGGGGCCCCGGGGGACTGACCACCCTGTTTGAGCCAAAGACAAGATGAGAGGTGGGAGAGGCCCCTGGCTCCCGGTGGGGACGGCGCTGGCTGTGGGTGGAGAGCGGCAAGTCTGTGCAGTGTCAGGGCAGGTCGGGAAGGGTGCAGAGAGGAGAAGAGGTTCTCGGGGCGTGGGAGCAGCAGGACGCATTTGCAAGTCAGGGAGAAAGAGGGAAATGGCAAGGGTATCAGATGGGTTTTCCCTGGGTGGAGCCTTAACTTGGTGCCAGGTCAGTGCCAGAGTATCACCTCTGCTTCCCCAGGTGGGCCTAGGAGGACCTGCCAGCGGAGCACACAGCAACCTCAGGCTTCAGCTGAGGTGCTTGGTGTGAGGATGGAGGTGTCTGGTCAAGGGGAGTCGGTAGCAAGTGCCTGGGAGATGGCTCTTTCTATGCCGGGCCTGGTGTCGGCCCGGGCTGGGGCAAAGAGGACTTGTCTTCTGCAGGGCGCGGTCAGCCTTGGGGCCTTACTCACCCTGGTTCCTGACATTTTTTTGCCCTATTCTCTGTGGACTGTGCTGTGGGCCAGCTGAGTTTATGCTCGAGGGAGAGGGCATGAGGCCTTCATCTGGGGAGGCCAGATTCCATCCCTGCTCCTCTTCCCAGGCATCCAGGATGAAGGCCAGTTGAGGTTCACAACTGACCGGGCCAGAGAGGCCAGTGCAGGGGAGAGCAAAGTGCATTCCTCCTTCACTCCACCCACCTTGATGAATGTAGCCAGAGTGAAGCTGTGGAGAGTGAGGCTGAAGACGTCTTTGCCCCTTGGGCCTTCTTGCCAGAGCTGCTGCCCGGAGACTTCGGCCTGACCTCCAGTGGCCCCAAGAACCACTGCTTTATCTTCCGATTCCTCTCCACTCCTTCATGACTGGGAAAGTTACTGGTTCATATGCAAGTAAAGATGACAATGCATTCAACAAATATTTATTGAGCACCTTTTATGTTCCAGGCACTGTTCTAGGTGCTTAGGATGTCCTCGTGCTTCTGAGGGATGACAGCCTGGGAGAAACCCACCTATCTCACTTCTAGTAGGTTTTTTGAACATGACACTTGGCTGCATTTCTCGTCATCGGCTCAAGCATCCCAAATCTGTCCTTTCTCTCCTACAGACTAGCAGGTGGGATTGGCTCCCAGGTTACCCTCTTCCCCGTCTTTCCCTGCACCTGGCTCCCTCTACAAGAAACAGACTTTGTAGGTTCTTCCATCCCTGCCCGTCTCTTTGTCTGTCTCTCCCTTTTTTAACTGATATTTTTAGAAATACATGTAAAATACCAAGAAATAATGTCTGCGCCTCTGCCCCTTTCCTCTCACCCCCTAATTCATAAAGCTGGCTCTTTATGTTGCTTTACATGCCTTAATATATGTTTTATGGAGATTATACATATTACAGATATATACGTAATATATATATATACATAGTGCGGATGTCTGAGCCTTTCCTGCAGCCCCTCCCAGCCCATTTCTCCCCTGACTCCTTAACCACTCGCTGCATGTTGAGGCCACACCCCTTGCCTTTGGATCCAAAGAAAGGGAGAGGAAAGACTTATTTTAAGACAGATGTATTTTACGCTTTTGTTACAAAAGCAAATCTATTTTCAAAATGTGCAATGTCTGACTAGGATTGGCAAATGATGTGGAGAGACGAGGACAGCTGCCTCTCGGTCCTGCCCCATGCCCTTCTTCTTCCCCATCCCACAGTCAGCAAAAGGCTGGTCCCGAGCGTACTCAGAGCAGGGCATTCCCCCAGCAGTTACACCACCTGCTCTTGGTGACTGAGGGTGGGCCGATGGGACTCCTCTCGAAGGAGATGTCCACAGTCGTGTGCACGGAGGACACCCCTGCAGGCACACACATCTGGCTGGGCTTCTGGACCGCCTCCCCTCACTGCAGGGAAGGTGATGGCGCCTCTGCTGAGCAGCACTGAGGAGGGGCTGCTCCTCGATGGTCCCCTGTCTGGGGCAGAGCCCCGTGGAAGCATCCCAGGATCCTCTGGGCCTCTCTGGCTCTCTAGTGCGGATGTATGTGAGTTCCTCGGACGCTCCTCTTTCACTTGACCCTCTCTGGGTCACAGCTATGGCATCTGCAACCTTTCTCTCTGGGGGCTGTTCTCAAGAGGCTGGTCTCTCGGTCTGGCATCCAGACTGTGAAATCAGCTTCTAGGCTAAGGAGGGTCCCACGGACAATGTCACCTCTCCTTGTGACTCAAGAAACCCCAAGGACTTTTCTCTGGCAGGCTGCCACCGGGACACTGAACTAACCAGCGCAGCCCTCCAAGCTGCTCGTCAGCCAGCGAAGCGGGCCAGGGGCCCTCGCCTTGCAAGGACTTGGGCAGGATGGAGGTCCAGATCTGACATCAGAGGTTACGGAATCTAGCCAGAGCTCCTGGCCAGCCTTTGAAGCCTGACGCCCAACTTTGGCATTTATGGCTCCCTGTTTCCCGCCTCTATAGTTGGCAGTGAATGGATAGAGCTCAGAGGGAGGCCCAGGGCTAAGTAACCCCCCAGGGAGAGCCCTGGTTCCTCAGCTCGGGCTTTCCGGGTTAGCACATTGCCTCCCTGGTCAATAACTAAGAGGCTGCAATCCAGCACTGCTCCTGTCACTTTAAAGATTGTCTGAGGTCGCTGGCTGCGGGTACTTGCTGCCCTGCCTTTGAGAGGCTTGTTCTTGGGGCAGAGCGGACCATAGCAAAACAGGATCGATTCCTTTCCCTCTAAGCACCCTCCACTTGGCAGCTCTTAAAACTAAGGCAAAATATTATATATATATATAAATACATACATATATCTATTTATGCACATATGGGGCCAATTTGATTTGCTAGTATTAGACAATAAACCATTCAAGGACATTTATGATCTCAGTGTCTTTATTTAGTATTAAGTGGCCTTAGAAGAAGAATTAAGGGTAGATAAGCAGAGGGCATCTCTGTCAGGGGACCAGCAGGTGTAGCATCCCCTGGTTATCTTTCTAGCCGAGGCCTCCCTCCCAGGGGAGCAGGGGCACCTGATGCAGGTGCACATTGTCCCCCACCCCGGGCAGCGTTCTTCCTAGATTTAGGTACTGAAGAATCCTGGCGAGTTCTGTGTATCTTACAAGTTTGTATAAACATGACACAGAAAATAAAAGTAATGGTTTGTACACGCAGTGTGTGTCTCCCAGTCTGTGTGTGGTTGCCCGTGGGGTTCATGGCAATTTACAGGCTGGGCAGGAGAGGGATGGGGTCTGTGGGGCGGGGCCACGAACATGGCATTACGTACCCCACCGTCCATTCCCTCCCAGGCAGGGATCCCAGAGTGCACAGAGGAAACACTGCCTCACCGAAGCTGCGGATAATGGTCTGCTGTGGACACTGGGGTCGCAGTGTCAGTCCAGGTGACCGTGGGCCAGGGCTTGTCCCTAGTCCTGTATAATAGGAGTAAAAGATGCCTCAGGCCCTGGCCCCTTCTTGGCTTGTCTCTGAGACAGGGTAGGATGCAGAAGAAATGGGGACCAGCAATTAGCGTAATGGCTATGTTGCTGGACTCCCACGTAGTCGACTACGGTTTGCATCCCGGACCCGGTGGCTTAAAACTCACGCCGGGTGCATGTGCGTGTGTGCCCAAGATCCCGAGAGGAGAATGGATTGCGGCATGGCCATCCCCCCTGGGGGGTGATTTCTCGCTTTCTATCTCTCTGTCTCTGTCTGTCTGGCGAGCGCACGCACCCTATAGCGAAAACCTCTCCAAAAATAAAAGGAAACGCTCAGACTTTTGCAATCACTATACAGTGCCCGGTACTGCTGGCGCAGGGTACCAGGAGCTGGATGATTCGGTACGGGAGGCGCCAGAAAAGCCATCCCGGTTCTCATCCAGCCTCAATGCCTTGGTTGATTTCTCTTGGCAGCTACAGAGCCGTTATCAGTTATTGACATTTAGTGTGAAGGGCTCACTGAGGAGTCAGAGCCAAGGAGCCTGTTAGTTCCGTGGGCGTGGGGAGTGGAGTGAAAAGGTGAGCCGGGAATAGCAGGAGGCCTCAGCTGGGCTTCTGCGAGGTGTCCGAGGGAGGCATGGGTCAAGAAAAAGAGAAAAACTGAGAATGGGAGGTGAGAAGGTAAGCTCCCTCGAATCCCTGATTTTGTATTTCTTTGACTTTAAAGGTGGGTGCTGAATTCTGGGCACTTGTTCCCACCCCTGAAGGGCGGCTGGAGTGGTGCTCATTTCAGATATACATGGAATAAAGTGATTTTCAACTTTCGGAACTTCCCCAGGAGAGCTGCAGGCACCGTTGGGGTGGGGAGTATACTGGAGACGGGAGAACTCATCACCTTAAGGCTCTGAGCCTCCCCCTACGGGCCAGAGCCAGTGGCAGGGGCTGGGGGGTGGTGGGAGGCAGGAACAGACACCATCTAGAGCCATAGACAGGGCTGCAGTGATGCCAGCCAAGCCCTGTCTGCTCTACCTCCTGGCTCAGATCAACCCTGTGGTGAAGCCAGGTGGGGGTATCCATAAAAGGGACCCATAGTCAGGAAATGCAAATGGAAAAGCCACCGGCAGAACGTCTTGGCGGTGCTCAGTAGCTCAGTAGCTGCGGGTCAAGTCTGTTACCAGAGAGAGGCAGGCGCTACGTGGCCAGGCAGACGGCCACACTTCAAACCCGCAGCCGCCAGGGACCTAGGGCCACACCGCACACACCCAGCCCCGCCTCCCAAACTCCAGCAAGGATCCAGGCTCACCCCCACCGCATTGCTCAGACCGATGTGAGAGGGTGGCGCTCCCCTCCCAGCTCTGCTCCGTGCTAGCTACATGACAATCCGGACAAGACACTGAGGGAACAGGGAGTTCTCCAACGTCCCCTCCTTCACTGGCTGCCCAGCCTTTGGTGAAGACATTGCCAGGGCCCCTGCTGTTTAGCCCTCAAGGTGTCCTACTCTGGCCTAGTTTGAACCCCCAATCTCAGGAGTAACCGCACCATGTCTTCCCCTCCCCAGGTGGCCAGGCAGTAAGACCGCTGTGGGCTGACAGCAGCCTGGCCTTCCAGGGCCCACAGACACTTGTGGGGCTGTGCTGTGAAGGGGCCCCTCTCCAGAAAGGAGGCTCAGCTCTAGCACCTGGAGACACAGGCCAGAAGGCCCAGTTCTAAGAGAGTGGATCCTAGTGGGTTCTGAGGCTGGGGGCGGAGGAGAGATGGTCTTAGCCGCTATTTTCTATACCTGAGGGATATTTAGTACCATAATTTGAGATGAGAGCAGAAGCCTCCATGTAACAGCATAGTCCTAGCCTGTTAGTAGTATTTAGTAATCATAACAACAGGCAGGGACTAGCAGGTGGCATGGTGGTTAAGGTGCAAGATCCCACATAGCTGACTGGTTTGAGTCCCGGACCTGGCAACTTGAGAATCATACTGAGTGCATGTGTGTATATATGCCCAAAATCCCAAGAGGAGAATGTAGGAGAAGGAATTGTGGTGTGGCCAGTCCCCCCTGGAGGTGGGGGTGATTTCTCACTTTCTCTGTCTCTGTCTGGTGAGTGCACACATCCTCTGGCAAAATCCTCAAAAGTAACTAACAATAGTAATTGTTGTAACTGTCCCGTAGTAACAGTGATAATTAAGGCTCGTGAAGTGCTTACCATGTGCCCAGAATCCAGTTTCATGTCCTCATCTGCGCTTACTCGCTAGGCCTCGCCATAGCTCTGGGTGATAGGAACTATTATCCAAGACACTGAAATGCAGAGAGGGTAAAGAAAATATCCAAGTTCTCCCTGAGCTAGGATGAAGCCCAGGGCACGTGGACTCTACAGCCCGCGAGCCGCACCTACCTAGTGGTTTAATGAGGATGATACCTCCCCCTAGAGGGCATTTTGAAAATTTGCAGGTAAAAAGTTGTCTCAATGAAAGGGAGCAAAACTGCAGGGCACACACAAGACAGAGTTTGGAAACAAAGAATGGTCCATTCCCTGCACACCTTTTACTGTGAGATTAGACCACACCTACCACCGGGATAAGTTAGTCACACTCTAATTCTTAATAATAAAAAGTTTTTATAGGGCCCAGCAGGTGGTGTGGTGAAGGGTGCTAGACACCCACATGGCTGACTGTAGTTCAAGTCCCAGACCTGGTGACTTGCTTTCTCACTTTCTCCGTCTCTAGTAAGCACTTGTGCCCTATAGCAATTTATAAACTAATAATACTAACAATAAATAAACTCTTTAAAAAGTTTTTTTTTTAAGCTTTTAGTTTTTTAAAATCTTTCTTTAAGGGGCTGACAAGTGGCATGGTGATTAAAGGCACTGGATTCCCACATAACCAACATGGTTCGAGTTCCAGACCTGGTGGCTTGCTTTCTCACTTTCCCTCTCTCTCTCTTTCTTACTCCATCAATCTGTGATCAAATTAAAGATAAATTAATAGGGACCAGCAGTTGGCGTAATGGCTATGTTGCTGGATTCCCACGTAGTTGCCCTTGACTCGAGTCCCGGACCCAGTGGCTTAAACTCACGCCAGGCATGTGTGCGTGTGTGCCCAAGATCCTGAGAGAAGAACGGAGGAGAGGGGATTGCAGTGTGGCCATCCCCCCTGGGGGTGGTTTCTCACACTGTCTCTGTCTCTCTCTCTGTCTGATGAGCAAGCACACATGCCCTATAGTAAAAATCTCTCTAGGAAAAAAAAAAAGAAAGAAAGAAAAGAAAAGAAAAGAACCACCCAGCAGCCTACAGAGAGAGCCACAGGGTGAGGAAATGAGGTCTCCGGCCCAGAGCCTCACAGAGGAGCCATCTTGGGAGAGCCTAGCCCTACTCAGGCCTTTGCCGACCTCCTGCCCGCAGCCACGGGAGGAACTTGGAGCCAGCAGCACCGGCAGCTGTTCTGACATTCCTGACACACACCACCCTTTAAAAAAATTTTTTTTTTACAGCCTCCACAAAACTGAGGATGAACACTGTTACACGTGCAGAGACCTCTGGGGGAGCGTCTGTCGTCCCTCTCTCTCTGACACTATCGCGGGGCTCCTCCTGCCGTTGCTCTAGACTGCTTTCGGCGCGCTTTAGCTTCTCTGTTGACCCTCTTCTCTCACTGCCCATTGGAAGTACATGATCTTCAAGCCCTTTTAAGGTCCTGGAGTTGGGGCTGAACCTTTCCACGTGATGGCATTTCAAGACACAGATCTCCACGTCTGCCCTGTCCATCCCGACCCAGGCCACGGCGCAATGCCTTAGGACGATCCAGCTCCTCTGTGCACACGTCGAACTCGGTGTCTCTGTCCTCTCCACCTCGCCTTCTGCCGTCCCTGCTTCAGGTGCAAGACTTTCCTCCTCATTATACACAAGCACCTCTGGTCTCTTGTGTATAACACTGTGGTTGTTTTTAAGAATTATTTATTTTATTTTATCTTATTATTATTATGCTTCAATTTGACCAGAGAGAGAGAGAGAAAGTAAGCCGCCAGGTCCGGGACTCAAACCTCAGTCGGCCATATGGGAGTCCAGCACCTTAATCACCACACCACGTACCAGCCCTGACACTGGTTTTTATTCTCGTGCTCACACCCTGCTACTCTTTCGTTTTCTTGTCTGTGTGTTTTTGTTTTCACATAGAATGGTCCGGTCTCCTATTTCTCTCGAAGTAGGATTTAATTATTATGCATAGGTACAAGCAACCCACCTGTTTCATTTACAGCCAGGTAATTCCTGCCTGAGCATTTATGTATTAGGAAACATCGTGGGCTTTTTGGTTTTTTAATGACATAGATGATTTTTCTTTTTTTTTCCCCCAGAGATTTTTTGCTATAGGGTGTGTGCACTCACCGAAGAGACAGAGAGAGACAGAAAACGAAAAATCACTCCCCTGGAGGTTGGCCACACCGCAATCCCTTCTCCTCCATTCTCCTCTTGGGGTTTTGGACATACATGCACACACGTCCAGCATAAGTTTCAAGCAACCAGGTCTCGAACCATGATCGGCCATGTGGGAGTCCAGCACCTCAACCACTACCCAACTGTTGGCCCCAAGAGAGAGGCATTTGTGAGAGCATCTCACCCCGCTGTGATTCTCCTGCTCCAGCCTGGCAGTTAGCGAGGGCCCCCAGAGCGTGTCACCACACCCAGCCCGTTTAGGCTGAGCGGGCACCAGACCTGCGGCCCCAGCAGTCACACAGCAGAGCTCTCCCACCTGTGCCTCTGTGGCTGGGTCCAAGACTGTGTTTTATCGTCAATTATTATTTTTTCCTTTTTTATTATGGTCAGCTTTATTTGAGTTTGTTTTTAGTATTTTTAAGAGACAGGGTCTCCCAATGTTGCCCAGGATGGCCTGGAATTCGCAGTCCTCCGGCCTCAGCCCTCTGCGGCAGGGGTCAGGCTCTTGGCACTGTTTTTAAAGTGACACATGCAGATTGATGAACTTCATTTCTGGATAGAGGGGACATTAAAAAGAACTGAGGCTCTAAGCATTGAGAACCGCTGCTCTGCCACCGGAGGAAGGATGTTAGGAGGTCTCAGTACCCCCTCTTTTAGACCCACAGGGGAGGAAAAATCACCCCATATCTCCACATTAGTGGGTCGACGAGGCGGGCTGTGCTCCTGAACTATCAGCCCTATCCTAAGCCCCAGTCCAGGGTGTGATCTTCAACAGCTCAGACTCCCAGTCCAACACTGGACATGGCCGAAGGAAGGAGGCCCGAGCTCTCGGATGGTGCCCTTACCCCTGGTGTAACCCCATCGGGCTTGCTCCTTGGGGCAGCAACAGGTTTAACGCAGTTGCTCATCGCTCCCTAGTGTCCAGGGTGTGTACTAACACAAAGTCAAAATAGGCTGGCTGCAGAGCTAGTGGCCAGGTGGATAAGGGGATGGATCCTGCATGGCCAACTACACAGCCTAGTCTCGGACCCCGCAGCTGGAGAAACGTGCCAAGCTTGTGTGTGTGCGTGCCCAAAATCCTGAGAGAAAAATGGAGGAGAAAGGATTGTGGCATGGCCATCCCCCTGGGGGCGATTTCTCTTTCTCTCTCTGGTAAGTGCAAGCACCCTGTAGCATATTAAAAAGAAAAAAACAGAAGAAAAGACTTTGAAGATGAATTTAGTACATTTCCAAAGAGATGTACAGATCCCAGCTCTCCCCACATTTTCCATCAAACCAAGCAAGGAATCTGGCCCCTCACAGATCCCAGTTCTCCTATTTACGGTCCAGGTTTTGCAGTGAGAAGGAGCCTCAGGGAAGGGGAAGGGATACAGAAAGGGCCAGGAGGGCGCAGCGTGTGGAGGGCAGTGCCTCGGGGAAGGCCGGAGAGCCTGCGACTTTAAGCGGCCGTCTGTGTGAGCCGTTGCAGGGTGGGGTGAGTTAACGATTTACAGCACTTGTTTCACAACCTGCCAAGGGTCAGCTCCGCGAGAAAAATGGAGGAGAAAGGATTGTGGCATGGCCATCCCCCTGGGGGCGATTTCTCTTTCTCTCTCTGGTAAGTGCAAGCACCCTGTAGCATATTAAAAAGAAAAAAACAGAAGAAAAGACTTTGAAGATGAATTTAGTACATTTCCAAAGAGATGTACAGATCCCAGCTCTCCCCACATTTTCCATCAAACCAAGCAAGGAATCTGGCCCCTCACAGATCCCAGTTCTCCTATTTACGGTCCAGGTTTTGCAGTGAGAAGGAGCCTCAGGGAAGGGGAAGGGATACAGAAAGGGCCAGGAGGGCGCAGCGTGTGGAGGGCAGTGCCTCGGGGAAGGCCGGAGAGCCTGCGACTTTAAGCGGCCGTCTGTGTGAGCCGTTGCAGGGTGGGGTGAGTTAACGATTTACAGCACTTGTTTCACAACCTGCCAAGGGTCAGCTCCGCGTGAGCATGCACAGCTCGGTCCTCCTCGGTGGCTCACCGCCTGCCAGCTTCCAGCCGGAAGTCCCCCCAGGCAGACTGCGGCATGATCTCCATCACCGAATGGCAGAGTGAGTGGAGGGGCTGGTGCGGAAGGGGCTAGGCTGGAGTGGGTACCCAGGCTAGGGTGGGGCCGAGATGTGCCCCTCCCAGCTGGGCAGCCCTTCTCTGAGGAGCCTACAACCGTGACCTCTGGAGCCAGGGACTGGGAGCTGCCGTGTTGGCATACCTCAGGCCACAGGGCCAGGGCGGGATGTGGCTGCCCTGCCTTCCAGTGCGTGGGGGTTTGCTCAGGACCCAAGTAACCCGAGGCTTGGTCTGGGGCCACTGGCAAGTCCCTCAGTGTAGCCAACCCCTCTCCCATACAGGGCTCTTAGAACTGGGATGCTACAACGGTGGGCCCAGGAGGCCTCTGCCCACTCCAGCCCTGTCCTCACAACCCCGCAAGGCCTCCTGTGGCCGGGGTCCCTTCTCATCCAACCCCTGCATCCTCAGTCCTCAACATCCTCGCCCTTGTTTTAGAGGAGAATGTAGTCAGGTAGTCCACAGGTCAGGGAGTTAGGGGAGAGCCAGGTGAGTTACTTAGAGCTCTGAGCAGGGTTGTTGTATGTGAACAGCTGTGAAGATTCCTTCATTCGTCACTGAACAAATTTGTCTCTGCTGTGTGCTGGTTCTCGGACCGTGTTGAGAACCGCAGCTCTGTGACTAGGAAAAGGATGTTAGGAGGTGTTTTCCCTGCCCCCACCTCTTTTCAAACCCAGGGAGGGGGAAGATGCCCCACATCTCCACAGTTAGGGGGTAGACTAGGTGGGCTGTGCCTCTGAAGTACCCAGCCCTACCCCAAGCCCAACCCCAGGGTATGGTCTTCCATAGCCCAGCCTCCCAGTCCAACGCGGACATCGCTGTACGAGGCGTAAGGTGTCCAGTGGTGAGAGAGAGACACAGTCCCTGCTTACATTCTAGAGGGGAGATGGGAGTAACAGAAAAAGACGTGAACACGGAGGTCGGATGGCAGTAAGTCCTCCGGACAAGAGAACGGGGTACGGAGCTGGGAAGCTGAACTAGGTTGGACTATTTCATGCGGAGAACTCAAGGAAGGCTTCCCGGGGCCAGCAGGTGGTGTAGTGGTTGAGGTGCTGGACTCCCACATGGTTAATGGTGGTTCAAGTCCCAGATCCAACGGCTTGAAAATCACACCAGGTGCCTGTGTGTGCCCAAAATCCCAAGAGGAGAATAGAGGAGAAAGGATTGCGGCATGGTCATCCCCCCTGGGGGGTGATCTCTCTCTCTCTCTCTCTCTCTCTCTCTGGTGAGCACATGTGTCCCATAACAAAAATCTATATTAAAAAAAAGGTTTGCTTCCCTAATAACTGTTCTTTATAGAGACCTAGGACTGAGGAAGCAATGATTTGCAGCTAATTGGAGGAGAAAATGTTCCAGGAAGCGAGGGCACCAGTGCAAAGGCCCTGAAGCATGAGCGTATGTGGTGTCTGAAGAACAAGGGGGCTGCTGTGGCTAGAGCCAAGCGAGGGATGGGGAGGCAGTAGTTTAGGTCAGGGAGGCCACCGAGGGGCCAGGCCATGGAGAGATGTCAGGCCATGGAAGGACTTCGGCTTTATCTACGCACGGTGGGAACCACGAGAGAGTTTTATGCAGAGGAGCGATGTGACTTGCTCCTTAGGTCAGCAACGATGACGTAAAGAGTGACCTTTAGTTTTTTTAAAGGTCGCTCTGGATGCTCGGTTGAGAACAGAATGCAGAGGGGTGAGGGCAGCCACAGGGAGACCAGTTCTGGGCCAAGAGATGGTGGAGAACTCTGGTTAGCAGGGAGGTAGGGGGAGCAGTCCATGATGGATCTGTTTTGAGGAAATTGCTAGAAGGATCTGCTGATGGACTGGACACGGGATATGAAAGAAAGAAGAGTCAAGAATGCTCTAGAGCCAGCCTCACAGTGTGGCGGTTAAATGCTTTGCACAGCAGTCAGATCCCACATGGCCGACCACAGTTCAAATCCCAGCCTTGGTGGCTTGAAAGACGCATTCGTGTGTGTGCACGCACATGCTCCAAATCCTGATGGGAAGGAGAAATGGAGGAAAACGGGTTGCAGTGAGACCATGCTTCGGTGGAGTATTCTCTCTGTCTGCCCCCCCCCCACCATGCACACATACATGCCCTCTGACAACATTAAAGAAGGAAAAGGGGGACCAGCAGATGGCATAATGGTTATGTTGCTGGACTCCCACACAGTTGATCATGGCTTGAGTCCTGGGCCCGGTAGCTTAAAACTCACACTGGGTATGTATGTGTGCGTGCCCAAGATCCCAAGGAGACTGAAGGAGAAGGGATTGCAGTGGGGCCATCCCCCTGGGCGTGATTTCTCATTTTCTTTCATTCTCCAGAGAGCGTGCACACCCTATCTCTCTTAAAAAGGGGGGAGAAGACCAGCAGATGGCATAATGGTTACATTGCTGACTCCCACATAGTTGACCATAGTTCAAGTCTCAGACCTGGTGGGTTCAAACTCACACTGGGTGTGTGTGCATGCATGTCCATCTGGAGATCTGGAGAGGAGAATGGAGGAGAAGGGATTGCAGTGTGGCCATCCCCTTGGGGTGGGGGAGGTGATTTCTCACTTTGTGTCTCTCTATCTCTTTCTGTCTCTACGGTGAGCACACACATCCTATAGGAAAAACCTCTGAGAAAAAAAATAAATAAATAAGGTAATTATTGAAAAAGAATACAAATGTACCAATAGCTCTAGCTTGGCCAGTTAGAAGGGCTGAGGGAGAGGAGGGTAAGCAGCGGTTGGGTCTCGGACGTGTTGAGTTGGTTGTGCAGTGGGATACCCGGAAGACCCCAGGCAGGTAGGCCGGGCTGTGGGGCTGCACCCTGGTCGGAGAGAGATCTGGGAGTCCCAGCACGTGGATGGTACCAGCTGCAAGTCTGTGACGTCACTAGGGCACGCTTCCACAGCCTCCCACAACTAACATTTTTTTCTCTCATCTGTCCTTTTCTAAAAATGTTTGTTTATTTATTTCTATGTATTTATCAAAGAGGCGCTCCCGATAGGGCCCTCACGCTGTGAGCCCCACCCCGTACCATCCCCGCTCACAGGCACGTGTGCTCGGGTGCTCGGGAAGGCCCAGGGCGTGAGCCCAGGACCTTTCCCATGTGGTCCAGCTGTGTCACCACTAAACCTCCTGGCCACACTGCTGACACTTTGGGGCAGGATGATTCTTTGTCGTGGGGCTGTCGAGCTCTAGAGGGTGTAGCAGCACCCTTGGTCTCTGTGCACGTGATGCCAGCAGACCTCCCCACGCCCACTCGTAAACACCAGCACTATCTCCAAACTTTCCGCAGTGCAGCCTGGGAGCAACACCGCCCCCACTCTCCCGCCCCTCGCTCTGGTTAAGAACTCCTGACCTAGGAATCAAAGCAGAGAAGAAGGCTCAGGCCTGAGCCCAGGGGCATGCTGACCTTTTATTGAGCCAACCAGCCCGCCAACAAACACACGCTTAGCAGACGCGAGGAGTCCTGAGAAGACCGTGCTCCGTCCAGTGAGAGGAAGGCGGGAGCCAGATTAGGTCAGCCCCGAGGAACTGGCGCTTGAGTTGAGACCCGAAGGAGGGTATGCGTTGGGGGACCAGTGGGTGGCACAGACACTGGCAAGAGGGACAGAGACTGGAGGGGGAGCTGGACAAGCAGAAAACATCTGGCTAGGAGTTTGGAAGCACAGAGAGACATGGGCTGGAATGATAAATATCGACGCCTCAGCACACACGTGATATTTAAAGGCATGGGCATATGTGTGAAAATAGAATGCAAAGAGAAGCGAGTTCAGGCCCAAGCCCTGAGCAAATTCAAATCCCAAGAGGAAGAAAAACAAAGGAGACTAGAAAAGAGTGCTTAGAGGTCAGGACAGGACAAAGGGCTTCAACCAGAGCAAGGTCGTCCGCTGGCACGTGAGGACAGACCCCTGTCCGATGGGTTTGGTAACATGGGCGTCATGAATGGCCAAAGCCAGAGCAGCTGCTATGAAAGCGAATGGGACTGGATCGGTTCAGGGCACCTTGAAGGACCAGAGGACAGAGTCAACCCTGGTTCCGACAGCTGTTGGCTGTGTACCCCTGGGCAAGTGACTTAACCTCTCAGTATCTCAGTCTGTGAAGTGGAGCTGATAGCAGCACCTACTCCATAGGTAGTTCATGAAAATTAAAGGAGTTGAGCCAGCAGGTGGCACGGACCGTAAGGCAACGGGATTTCACATGACCGACTGTACAATTCGAGTCCTGGACCCAGTGGCCTGAAAATCACCAGACAATACAGGGTACGTGGGCTCACCAGAAAGAGACAGAGGAAGTAAGAAAGCACCGACCCCGCCCCATGGAAATAGCCACACCACATCCCTTCTCCTCCATTCTTCTCTTGGATTTTAGGAGCACACACACACCAGGCGTGTTTTCCAGGCAGCAGGGTCCAGGGCTGGAACCGTGCAGTTGGCCATGTGGGGTCCAGCTGGGTTTTAACCCATGCCACCTGCTGGCCCCAGTAATACTCTTTTTTTTTTTTTAGAGAGAGAGCTTTTTGCTATAGACCATGTATGTGCACCTGAGACACACAGAGAGAGAAAGAGATTAATGATGCCCCAGGGAGAATGGCCATGCTGCATCCCTTCTCCTGCATTCTCCTCTTGGGATTTTGGGCACACACAAACACACCCAGTGAGTTTCAAGCTGCCAGGTCAGGGACTCAAACTGCAGTCGGTCATGTGAGAGTCCGCACGCCAACCACCACACTACCCACGGTCCCTCCCCAGTAACTACTCATAAATAGTTCAGGAAAAGGCTTCATTGTACTGTTCTTGTTTCTTTTCTGTACACTTGTGATAGCTTAAAGAAAAGAAAATGTTCAATTTTTTAAAAAAAAAAGCAAAAAGAACAAATGAGGTCCTGGAACTCCTTGCGCAGTCCGATGCCAAAGGGACCCATCTACCTGCTCCATGAGACGTTGCTTTTTTTTTTTTGCTTTTTGGAGCTGTGGGTGTTTTCTGAAACAAGAAGGACACTGCACC